CTGTGACTTAGATACATGAGAATGTTATGGTGAGCAATTATGAATCTTTTGGCTTTATGTTGTAATGCATGTTTTGGCCCCTTTTCATTATCATGGTTTCTAATGAAGCCTACGACTCCCATCTCCTCCACCGTCTGCTCCGTTTCTCTTCTTCCCTTTCCTCTTTTCCTTCTTCTCTTTCTATCTCTTCTTCTAAGATACTTGAAAACCCTTCAGCAGTGCAACACTTTGGATTTGATTCCAAAAGGGTCCTCTGGAGCACATGTGGAGCCAAATGGCACATGTCGCATCATCTGCAACCCTTGAAAGCAAATGTGCCTTATATTGGGACTGTGTTACAGAGGAAGCATGAACTTGCTTTGCTGACTTGTTACCAGGTAGGAAGTAAGAACTTTCTCTTTCTCCAAAACAATGTTTGCAAATCAAATCTTAAGTGTTGCACAGTGGCAATATGTACACCCACATACCCACAGAAACACTGAGGCTAAGCTCACAGAATATGCATTTCCAGGTGCAGTACAATCATAACAATTGTATCCATACAACCCTTATTCTATCCTTCCTCTCTTTCCTCCAGGAGATCAATGTCTTTGGGTATGAGGACTCTGTCAACTTGACGCACGCTGCCAATGGAGGTGGCTGCATAATGTCCCAAAAGGGGATGATATGTCTCATTTCCTGCACTAAATCCAAAACTTTTCAGTGGTCCCAGACACTCATCCAAAGCAATTTAGGGGCATATGAGTTGGGCAACATCCACTGTTAAGAATGCAGGTTGCAGAGTTGTGCAGAGCAGGGGACAAAGTTTCTCTTCCAAATTTTTGGAACTACGTGGACAGTTGCCTTCAATCCTCTAATTAAAAGATTTGTAATGCAGTATACTTACAGCTTCTTGTAAGAAGGCCACCGATCATCCTGGGCTGTGAACATTCTATTCCCTAAGGAAGTAGGAACAGCAAGGTTATGATTAAATGAATAAACCTTGGCAGACAAAATGCCAGTGTGTTTTAGAAACTTCTTCCATGTTTCCATGTGTATTGCTGTGTACACATGGTGTGATCCATGTGTATGTGTATGTGAGGGTGCATTTGTATTCATATGAAAGAAGCTTTGCATGGAAAGAATCACAAATATTTTGTTCCGGTTGATCCCAATTAGAAGTCATCACCTCCTGTGGTGCTCCTTATAGTTTCTGCCCCATCAGGTATTTCATTTAAAAAAAAACAAAACCACATGCACACAATCATAATTTTCAAAGGGAAGCTATGATTTGGAGCCTTGCTTCATCTTTTTTCCCAAAAGGCATCTGGGCCTCATTTTTCTTAAAGTCT